CCCCCCCCCCCCGCGCGCGCCTATTGGAACGATTGGCCATCGGTGATGGGTCCTGTGGGAATAATGCTCCGTCCTCTCGCGTGGTCAATGGTCTAACGGCTGAGCCATGCAAAACACAAGAGTACGTCCTCCCCCCCCCCACGCGCGCGCCTATGGTTAGAAACTACGGCATGCGTTTACGGGAGTATACGCCTCCTGCGCCTTGAAATACAATACTTCATTCACACACCGGCTATGCTGAGGCAGCACACGGCGTAGAGGTGCCAATCTCTCGTACTGTAGTCGGTCAGCACCATCAGCTCGTCCAGAAAAGAAACCGCCGAGTGAATCGTCACCGTCTTCGCAAGGGAACGGATCGGGGGGGGACGGCACTCATGTTATGCATGCGTCAGCGGTTAGACCATTGACCACGCGTCCTCGAGAGGATAGATTAATGGAGGGAAGTGGGTACATGGGCGAGAAAAAAAGAGGCTGAGCGCTAACAATCCTCGAGTGAACAAGATAGGATGCAGGAGGGGGGCGAGGGGGATGGTCGAACGCAACGCCGATCGTTTTGAACAACAGAATAAACCTGGCCGAGAACACTTGGAAGAAAAAAAATGGAAACATGCACATCACAGGGATTGCCCGTTCGTTCCGTGCCTCCCGGGCGTGACTCAAGATCACATGCTTTTGGTTAAATCAACACGAACGTAAACAAAAACGCGAAGTACACAGCAGTATGCACATGTCTCGGGGTCTCCCACGACAACACAGCCAACCGGGGCACACGAAGCAGAGAGCCGCATGTTCTCGCGGCGAGTCATCCACAACCGGTAGTGGTATCCTAATCCTTCGCAGCGGAAGAATGGGGGGGACCCATAGCCGTGCATGCCCTAGTCGTGAGACCATTACCTCGGGCAAGAAGCAAAACGGTTTCGGTGGGGGGGGTTGCCGCGACTGACCTGCAAGTCCAGCTGCTCTCCGACCTCGCTTATCCAGTCGACCATGTAACGTCGATGCTGCTCTCGCGAAGGAAGCACCGAGAGGGCAAATAACGCCCGGCCAGCCGAGAGCGGCAGCAGCAGCAGCAGCGGTGCAGCAGAGGCCGTGCGATATGCGGTTGCAAGCATGCCTGTGATGCGTGTGTGTCGAATCTAACCACAACTGAGTTAAGCAGAAAAACGAGTATCAGTGACACCCAGCACAGTCTCGTAAACCAAAAAAATAAAAGTCAGCTGGAAAAAGAATGTAAAGACCACCACCACAAACACAACTCGTCGATAACGTCAAACGGAGAATAGAACCCCCACTTCTCACCGCAGGGTACTCCGCGGGGGGCTCCGCGGCCTTGGCCATCCTCATGGCGAACTTCTTGTCCTCCTTCATCTTCCAGTACCCAATGATGAGGTCCGCCGGGAAGCCAAGCTCTATGTCGGTCGTCTGGCGGTCGAGTGAACGGACGGGACAGATGGACGGATGCGATGAAAATGATTTCATGAGGATCATGTGTTCAACAGATCACAAGCTAAAGCTTAACGAAGAACGTTAAAAAGCAACGAGGGGATTCCGTGCACACGCCTGACGGATGGACGAAGAAACAAGGCTATCGGAGGGCTTGTAGACCAAGCGCAGGAGATGAAAAAAAAAACGAGCGTGGCAAACACAAACAAACAGCAATCA